AGATATATTCATGTCATGCCCACAACGTTGCTCGATCCCTGCATGGGTTGCAACACGTCATCGAATCAAAAGCTTTTTAGGGCTAAGGAGTTGACAAAATCGTGTTTGTCCCGACTAAAACAAACCAGGGGAATGTTGGATTATGCTTCGGCCAAATGGATATAGTCTTCACGTGGCTTTGATCCAGGGAAAGCATCTCATTAGCATATTCCATGTGCTTTGGTAGGGCCACGTGACTCCACACCGCCAGCTGGTAGGACGTCGAGCGCGGCGCCGCGGTCATGTCACGTCAGCAGCTTGATTGGCCGCGAGCGTGACACGTGTACCCAAGGTTTGTTTCTTCTGTGCATTTTCTTTGTAGCTATCCATGTCATGAAAGGACAATAACGCGGATTTCTCGAGGAATTGTGGGCGGGTGAGATCAAATTTTTCGCAATGTCTATGCATTGTCTAGCTATCTATCACCGCCGTCCATTCCTTGTTCGTGGACAAGGAGTAGCGTCCAAAGGAGAGCCCTGGCTCCCAGGGATAAGTTTAAAGCGAGCAAACCAAGCAGACCAAAGAGTGGCAGCCTTTTAAAGGCTTCTTCCGCGAGATTTTACCTGTCAAAAGGAAAACTAGCAAAACCATGGAAGGATTTTTCTTTTCCTTGTTTGATCAGCCTGCCTGTCAAAAGGAAAACTAGCAAAGAAATACTTTTTTTCTTTGTTCCAAAGATTCTTGATCGGCCAACTTAGCGAAGGGCCATTCTTTAAAGGATACAGTCATAGCACCCAGAAGAGAAAGCGATGTGGCGTCGTGGGCGTTTGTGCACCACGCAGCTCCCCCGACTGGAAACTTAGATTTTATGGACTGGGAATAAGTCCATAGAAAAAACTGTTCTTGCAGCGGCAGGCCCGCAAAGATACTCCCATGTTGTTATTCTCCCATCATTCACCCACAGCCTTGTCTCGTGAGTTAATCCGAGATTGTTTTGAAAGCTCAAAATTATAGCCTTGATCGTGATATTGACAATATAGGAAACTATGATTCGTATGATCTTTGCCTGGAAAATATAGTAATGACAGAACATCCCAGTGGGTGACTGGCAGCTTTCTCAAATTTTTAGAGAGTGAGAGAAACTCCAGTGGGTTTGGAGGGCGATTGCAAGGATGATCCAATCCAGCCCAGAGCAAGTGACGCGCAAAAAAAATCTGGCCAAAACAACCAACCGATACCACCTCAGTCTTTTAGAGTGGGGCACAAACGTAAATGCGTGTGCTGCTTGTTCTTAAGTCCTGTCGCATGTAATCAAACTCTTCTCGCCAATTTTTTTTTGTCTAAAGACCTCACGATGATCTCGAGTTTGAAGATAAGAGCTCGGCTTGATCTCGAGTTTGACGACAAGTAGCACGGCTCGCTTGTCTCTTCTTCACAAAAACTTGTGGAGCCACCGCAACCAAAAACTATGAAAGGTACTCACCGCGACGAATGGAGAAATGGACCGTCCCAACGCTCACTTATTTCTCTCCTATGATCCTGTACACACCACAAGTTATATACGCCGAGAATGTCGACGTACCGCGGCTGAGCAATCTGTCAGAGGCTCCATTTCAACATTTTTGTCTCGCTTGACAGACAGGGATGGAAACAGACGCCCCGCTTTTTCGTAAACCGCGGGGAATATGCTACAGATTTTATCTGCGAAAGAAAAACAATATGAGAAAAAAGACAAAAAAAAAAGAAAAAAAGAGCAACGTGATGGCTTTCGAGAAGAAAAGGAGTTGCATTTGACCGATATGTACCTCTTTAGATGGTGGACCACGAAGGAGCGACGGGAGGAGGGAGCGGAAGGCCTGTGTAGCGGATGTCTGTACAGATTAGCAGGAAATCGTCTTCGTATCTAATGGTTGCTTCTTGGAACTCGATCGCTGGAATGACGGGCAGCGGGAAACCTTTCTTGAGATTGTAGTTCACCAGTGGTAGAATCACGTCTTTGAGGATGGTTCTCGTCGCTACCTGTTGCAACAAACGTTTTAGGTAGATAATGTGAAAGAAACAGTAGGCGCTTACCTCGACGAACTTTACTGGAAAAGTGCCTATAGTACTCCACTTGAGGTCCAGGCTCAAGTCCAAAAGTGAGGCCTCGCCAGTGATGTTAGTGCCAACAATCTCGGCCAAAGCATGTAGCGTAACTTCCTAAAGTGAAGTACAAGAATAAGCAAAGAAAAAGCAAAGTGGAAGAATTCTGTATGATCGTACCAGACTTATGCAAGCTACTGGAATAATCTCGTTGTTGTCCACCACCTCTATTGTCATGTCAGCCGTAGTGGTCGCACGAATCCCATCCCTTGAAAAAGAAACCCGGGGGGCAGAAGCAGCAGAAAGGTTGAGTAACATATCATCGTTTGGGAACTTGCGATACAGCTGCGGAATCAGAAATCTCCAACTTGCAGTATTGAGGAGGGACTGCTGTGGAAGTCTATCCACGACCCTCTCTAATCGTCCTGCCTGTGAAAGCCATTGAGCACTAACGAAAAATAGAAAACAAAACAAAAGCGTTGCAGACTTACTTTATAGTACACGTCCGACGCGGAGGTAATAACGTAGTCTCCAAGAGCCACAGTGATCATCTTCACATCTGAATCAATGCATAATAATCCGGCTGGCAGCTTCTTTGGAGGGTGCTTTCTTTCGCTGGGGGAAGCGATATCTACAAACTCCCCCATCACCCCGACGCTGATATAGTTTTGGTTGAGAATTGGATCGTCGACAACCGTGACATCAACGGCTGAAGTGGTGTCCACTTGGAGCTGCCTGGGCAAGCTGAGCAGCAAACGATTTAGCCGACTCACAGCGGCGAGAACCTGTGTCGTAAGCGCAGACTCGACAGATTTTTGTATTTGTCCTTTGAACGCATAAACGAACCTGGCAAGCAACAAAGAAGCTTTGTTAATGATATTCCCCTCTAGCTCCTCGACAAGAAAAAATAAACTCACCATTGGTAGAGCCACGACTGTCCGCCTTGCAGCTCCAAATCTAGTGACGATAAGTCGGTGTTACACTCGGTCACCTGAATGGACAGTGTTCCATTCTTTTGTTGCATTGTAGCTTGCAACCATGCGTCTCCATCGTTCACCTTTAAGAAAAAAAAAGGTTTTTTCATCAAAGTCGAAGTCTCTGAAACGAGCAAAAACCTTTCTTACCTTTGCAGTCGCGGTGCCACTATCAGAGATGGGAAATGGAATCAGTGATGCCGTGTAAGTGTACTTCCAATCCAGCGAGACTTTGGTCTCGACCCCTGAAGCATTGAACCAGATCCCTGTGTTCCCGAGATCTACATTCGATGACGATACGTTGGCATAAACAATGACGATGTTCTTGAGCTCCACATCCACAATTCCAATCGGCCACTCCACCCTCCGCTTCACATTCGGCAGATTGAGCGGCGTCAAATCCTGGAGCACGCTCTCGACGAGAACCTCGCGGACGTAGCTGATCCCCATCTCGGAGAGCGTGACGAGAATCCCTGCCTCGGCTCCATCGGCTGGATCGGCCGCTGCGCTGCCGAAGAAATCTCTGAAATTCCCTACCCGCGCTTCGTCGCCGATGCCGATTCTAGCTGCCGCTCCATGCAAGAGGAAGAAGATCGCCGCTATCGAGAGGAGCAAGGCCTTCATGGTCGTCGCAATATCATCGCATCACGCAAGGAAGAACTAGGGCTTCTAACGTGGGATTATGCCGAATATTCCTCGTGCTTTTCTTAGAAGCTTCTTATCTGCCCTAGAGAAAAGCACATTCTTATTTCCGCACGGACGGCTACGATCTATGGGATCCAACGGTCAGGCCGCCATTTCTATTTCTGATCTAGCTACGAGATCAACGGCTGGGATGTGCATGATTGGCGTAAAGGTCCACAGTTCCCTGGCAGGAAAGAGAACTTAGCGCGAGCGCTGTCAATCAATCTCTCAAGGCTGGATTCTTGACCGATTTCTCCATTCCAGGGGCGATAATCCGGGCTAGCGCGCCTCCTCGTCGGCGCTGAGGCGGCGAGCATGGATCTATGCTCTTCCAGGCGAGCGCGGCAAGGATTTCCGCCCCGGCCCGTCGGGAGCGCATTCTTGATCCGGTGAGCGCCGCGGAGAGGATTAGGTTGTGGCGGATCCATCCGGCGCGCCGGGATGCGACGATGAGAGGTAAGAAGCTGCTGCTAGCTCCCGGGCGCAGGAGATCAGAGGGTTCTTGGCGGCTGGAATCCAGGGCAAGGGTTCGTGTTGGTGGATTGTAGCTTCGGGGCTGGATTTTGGGGGGAAATGGACGCTCCAGTGGCCGAGGAGGTGGAGCCGGGGCAATGTAGTTCTTCCCTCCAGGAGCAGATTAGAAGGCTAGAGGAGAGCCACACCAAGCTAGAACAGGAGATGAAAAAAATTCTAGAGGAGAGGGAGCGAGTTGTCAAGGCGCTCCGGCTCCAGCAAGAGGAAGCGTCAGCGGGGCACGTAAGAAGATCTATGTCCATGTCGCCTCCTCCAAAGAACTCGTCCGGGCCGAGAAGGACGTCCTCGGAGAAGCTCTCGGACAGGGATTTGCGCGCTGCGCTGGATCTAAAATCGCTTTCCATGGCCGAGGATCGCTACAACGACATTCTCCAGTCCATGGGACAGGCCGTTTATATGTTCACGACTTCTTCTGAGGTGACATACTGGTACATGATCTCTCGTTTTTCTTTCTTCTTTGGTTTGTTTTCCTGCTGGTTTTTTCTTTTCTTTGTTGCGGGTTCCTTTCCTTGGTTTCTTTTCCATGTTTCTTTTCTCTAGCGTAGTTTTTTTTTTCTTTGCTCGGTGGTAATGGAAGTTTTTTTTTTTTTTTTGCGTAGGAACCGCATGGCCGAGCGCTTATATGGCTGGTCCGCCGCCGAGGCCATCGGTCGCGATCTCATTGAGCTTCTGATCGACAAGAGCTCCGTGGAGAGCGCCACCAAGATCTTGTCACGACTCTATGTCGGTGAGTCGTGGGTCGGCCAGTTCTCACTCAAAAAAAAATCCGGCGAGATATTTCCTGCCATGATGACAAACACGCCGTTTTACAACGACGGGAAGCTCGTCGGGGTGATTTGTGTGTCGAGCGACGCACGGCCGTTTATGAAGAGCAGGGACTTCGCGCAAGCTGATTCGTGGCAAATACCCTTTGCCGCGACATTTTCAAGCCTGGTAAAAGTCAAGGTTTTGTTTTCTTTGTGTTTTATCGCTTGGTGTTTTGTCCGTGCAGGCAACCAAGATTCTAACGCACCTGCGAGGGAACGCTATGGAGGTAAATCCTGCTGCTGCTGGAGGAAGCAGCAGTGGTGAGGATTTGACACAGGCTAGCAGAGTCTTCGCTGGTTTAAGATCGAGATCGGGGTCGTGGACGGGTCGGCTGTGGCCTTGGTCTAATACAGAGGCAGAGTTGGCATCTGCGGCGGCTGTTTTGCGGAAGGACGAGCATGAACATCCGGAGGCTCCCGCATCAAATCAACCGATCGTTAGCATGGATGTCAATAGTAGTATGAGTAGCACAGGCACGGCTAGCAGTAGTTCAAGCAGGCACGTCTGGGATGATCTAGAAAGTCCAGAGTATGAGATCACTTGGGAATCGCTCAGCTTGCACGATAAAATTGGTCAAGGTACGTTAGTGTTTTCCTCTCTTTCTCTGATTGTAAGTTTTCTCTGTCTCCCAGGAAGCTGTGCAACAGTTCACCGTGGGACTTGGTGTGGACTGGTACGTTCAAAGTTTTTTGTTATAGTCTTAACAATGTATGTGTAGGACGTGGCAGTGAAGGTCTTTCACGAACTTCAGTACAACGAGAGTGGCATGGAGGACTTTCGGAAAGAGGTAGAGCACGCCATTTCTACGAGTGCCTGGAGACTAATATGCTTAGTATAGGTTTCAATCATGAAAAAGTTAAGACATCCCAATATTGTTCTTTTCCTCGGTGCTGCCTCGACTCAGGATCGGCTTTACATCGTAACCGAGCTTATGCCCAGGTACAAATTTGTTACTTTAGAATCTCACAATGGCTTTTTTTTCTTCTTCAGGGGCAGTTTGTTTAAGTTGCTTCACAGAAGGCCAACGGGTTTGGATTGGAAGCGAAAGCTGAGCATGGCTTTGGACGTGGTTGGTATTGCCATAGTTTTCTCTTTTGTCGAGATTTTAGCTCCATTTTACAGGCTCGCGGGATGACTTACCTTCACAACTGCACACCACCTATAGTTCATCGCGATCTCAAGTCTACAAACTTACTGGTTGATAAAAATCTCAAAGTCAAGGTAACTCTCTGAGGAGAGGCTTTAAGCGCTGCTAAAACTGGGAAATGTATCAGGTTGGAGATTTCAGCCTTTCGCGATTGAAGCACTCCAACTTCTTGACGGGGAACGCACGGATGGGAACGGTAAATCTTTCCTTTAGTTGATTTGATTCCTGACAAGCCACTTTGATGTCTTCAGTCGCAGTGGATGCCCCCGGAGGTTCTCCGGAGCGAGGCTTCGAGTGAAAAGTATGCATGTGAGAGCTGCGATCGGCTCTGTGTGTGTTGCTCATCTGTTCTTTTCTCGTTTTGCTCCTTTTTTTCAGGTCGGACGTGTACAGTTTCGGGGTGATACTATGGGAGCTGGCTACAGAAGAAGTCCCTTGGAAAGACTTGGATCCTTTACAGGTTAGTATTGTCTTCTCTCAAGTTCCCTCGATCAAAGCTTTACATTCTTGTGTTGTTACTCTAGGTGATAGCGGTGGTGGGATTTAAAGACAAAAGGATGCCACTGCCCGAGAGCTGGATCCAAAATACGCAGCCACGATACAAGACTGTTGGAAA